TTTCGGATAGAAAAAGAATTATCCAAATCGGTCCACTAGCGGCGGAGTTATGCCGTAACACACATAAAAAAAAATAAAAAAAAAAACATACGGTCGAATTGAATACCTCCTTCTTTTGGGAAGTCGGTCAAAAACTACTGGACCGATTACAAAAATTCTTTCACCATTTAAAACGTTATCAGTTATGTTTTTATTATTTATTAATTTACGTATCAATATTAGTAGTAGTAAAATATAATTACATAATATACTAGCTGTTGCTCGCGTCTTCGTCCACATGAAATTTAAAAACATATCCTGCTAGTACGTGATAACGTAGCTTTCTAATGGTGAAATAATTTTAGAAATTGGTCCAATAGTTTTTGAGTTATAACTATACACAAAAAAATCTTCCCTCTTTATAATATTAGCATATATAACGATAGATAAGAAAATTTAAAGAAGGGATACATAGATAGGAAGACAACGAAACAGTGATAGCTAAAAGAAACAAACAATAAAATATTACACAGAATTTCTATAAGCGTAATCAAATTACAATGCACGGGTTTCTTTGTCTATCACCATTCTTTTAAACATTTCAGCACTCACAAGTATCGTTCAAACGAGAAATATATTTCTAATTTCAAATATATTACATACATCTAACTGAAGTTTCTTTTTTTAAATACTGCAATGTCATTACCTAAAATATCCAAGTGAATTAAATAAGTCGCCACACCATAGGGATTGCTGGCTCTACATTCATAAGTCCCACCGTCTCTACTCTCCACGTAGTTTATATTAATAGTACTTTTGATTCCATTTGGGTTAACATTTTCAGTCACAGTTATCCTGTAAATTAAAAATTAAAATATCAAAATAAACAGAATCGATTCAAATATGAAGTTGACATAAAATTCAAGTTTTAAAAAGGACTACATTTTTAGTTGAATATAGCGCCATCTATTATCACTAACCGAAATTAAAGCAAATCTTATCATGATTTGAAAACGTTTGATGTCTAAAGGTGGCAGTTTTGTTAAGATTTCAATAGATGGCGCTGTACACATATTTATTACATTTCGTTTATCTCATTGTTCCAAGGCTTACCTGGAGGTTGTGAAATCCACACCTTTACCATCCACAGTCCATTTAACTCTAATAGGGCTGTCACCGAGCGGTCGGCATGGCAACGTCACTGGCAGCCCTAGCTTTGTCGTCAGATTTGTACCCACGGATTCAAAATGCACCGGCTCTAGAAGAAACTTTGTGTTTATTAATTTTTATTAGTTTTATTTACAGTATAGTCTATATAGTATGAAAGTAAATGAACAATAGTCAAGAAATGGTTACCTAAAACTTGTATATTTCTTACAGTCAAACTATTCATAGTATTGTAAGGCGTTGTTTTTAAATAACGTCTTTATAAATAAAACAATTAAGGACGCCTATTGAGTGAGGCACAGCTTCAGTTGGCACTATCAGTATACTAAATACCAACATTGACACAGAAAGTATAAAAGAGGGCGCTGTAAGCTTTTCATTAATTAGTTTCCCTTATGACACCTGATCAACATAACCGTTTATAAAACTATAAAGGTTTTTTCAAATAAAAGGAAAAAATTTCTGTATTGCCAGTTATATGTTAAAACCTATATGTTATTGCTTATGTGTGACATCCAATTTCCTTCCACAACATTCCTGTTTCTAGACAACGGCGGATCCAGGGGGGGGGGCGTCATTGGGGTAATGACCCCCCTTCTTGAGCTCATTGGTCAAGAGATTGACAAAATATATTCACATATTTTGTCTTGACTTGACCACGACTATGTGACCCCCTCCTGGCGCCAAACCAGGATCCGCCCTTGTTTCTAGAACATTCTTTTTAAAAAAATGTATAGAACATAAAGAAACAAATCAAACACTTACTATTAACACTAATCCATAAATTCTTATTCAACGCATCTCCAACACCATTCTCCACATTACAAGCGTAAACTCCCTCGTCGGAGAGTGATACCACTTCTATGATAAGTGTGCCATTGGGGTAACTAATGACACCACCGCCGGCTAAATCCAACACCGGTCTCCATATACCAAGAGTTGCTGTAATTAAGATAATGTCATTTAGGGCCTGTCCCACCACTGGCTGATAGAGGCTCAGATAGTATAAAAATGACGTCACTATCAGATAAGTTAACAAAATTTGATATTTCCATAATTTTTTTTACACATTGGATTGTTATCAGACAATTTACAATATGGGAGACAGGCCCTTAATATTCCATAACTAGCTTTTATCTGCGTCTCCGCGGGGAATTAAAAAAAAAAACAAATGTACTCTATGTGTTCTTCCAGACTATGTTCTATATCTATGACTTACGAACTCTTACAAACATCTAAACCTTCGCATTTCTATTAGTTAGATTTTTTTACAATTTAATACTAAGAAATTAGAATTAAATTGTAAGAAAAATTTAGTTAAGTCCAAATTAATAATTATTTCAGAAAAGTAACCTTTGCAAATTAAGATTTTTCTGATACTATTTGGATTTTAACACAATATTCAAAGATGAATATAAAATGAAACTAATCAATTTAAGATAATTAGTTTGTTTTTGTAGAAAATTGTAACTATAATTGTCTTCAATCTTATTAATATTATTAAGTTTCGATGAATGTTTATTAGAGTTTGTAGTCTAAATTGCTAACGGATTTCGAAGACATTTGTCACAGATGTAGAATGTAGTCTGTAGACTACTTATTGTTTTTTTAACTCATGGACATTTAAAATGTTTACCGTCTCTTTTCATCCAATGTATTTGTGGTGCTGGATATCCATTCGCATTACAATAAATAACTCCTCGTTGCCCCAACAACAGTGAAGTGTTCGTCGGCTCTTCCACCCACTTCGGTGCAACTGGAAATAAAATATCACATTTTAAAATCCCATTTATCTAATATAGCTGTTCCCGCGCGGATTCATCCGCATGAAATTATAGAAACTTTATTTTATTCTTTACATTTGTCAAACTCTCAATTGCAAATGTCAAATTTTTTATGGTCTAGTTTATGGTCCCTTTCCCACAGAAAGTATTTTTTCCAATTTATTTACCCCTAAGTTTAATAGCGTGAAAATGTATAGCCTAAAGCATGACGTAAGTGTAGGGCTTTTTATTAAAAAAAGGATCATTCAAAAATATGCTGTAATTGCTGACATCTTAAGCCACAAAGAAGTGTGAGTTTACGCTTTGTTATGTAAGATGACAGCAATCACAGCATATTACTGAATAATTATTTTTTTAACTAAATGCCCTACATTTACGACAAGCTTTAAGCTTATATTTTCACGATATTAAACGTAGGGAGAGGGATAGGGAAAAATACAATGTTACCAATAGCAAAGAACCAAGGTTGCCATGGTTAGTTAAACAATTTTTAGCCATTGACAGTGACCTTTGTTGTCATTAGAATTTTGACATAGTCTTCATAATGTCATACGGATGAATCTGCAGATGAACTAGTCATTTCATAAAAATTAATTATAACCTAAACAAAAACATAAAAATCTAAATCTGGAAGCGATTCAATATTTAATTTACGTTCTAATAGCAAATAAATTAGTTACATGTAATATGACAGAGCTTTTATATTTCTGATCAGTCTACATATTTTACTTTAGTTCACTTACCATTTATGTAAAGATCTGCTGTCTGATTGACTTTCCCAACGTGATTCGTCGCAATACAAGTATATTTACCGCAATGCTCCAGCGACACTCTCTTTATAATCAGAACGCTAAATAATTCTGAACTTCTTTCATTAATCTGAAATGTATATAAAAATCTACTTAAGAGATCGTTAAAAATCTCACAAACACATACAAAGATTTATTTGTATTTTTTATTTATTTACTATTAGATACATCATTACTACAACGTGTGTAGCATTTTGAGGTTAAAGGATTCAAGTTTCAAAGGCAATTAATGGATCTTACAATTACTATTTCCGTGAGTATATCTATGCTACTTCTCAAACGAAACTCTTCATAAAGAAGCTACAAAACATAATTATCGCGGCTACCAGCCACGCGTCATTTAAAAATAAAAGTCCTGACTAATCTAGAAATCCCTCTATAGTGTCGAGGAATTTTTTCTGCTATAATTTGCTTTATGTAAACATAGTTTCGTTCAGAATATCTGTATATTTTTTTAACACTATGACCTGTAATTCACCGTTACCAATAATTTGTATTTGTATCAAATTTACTTACTTTCAAACTGGCTGGAATCTTCATCCCGTCTTTTAACCATGAGAAGAATATCGGCGGATCTCCGCTAATAATGTTGCAGGTGATCTGCACGATCTGACCTTCCTTCAGTCCAGTGCCGACGCGGAGCTCGTCCAGCGCCGGCGCTTCTACCACTTGCACTTCGAATGATCTGGAATCAAATGAATTAATTTTCAAATTACTTGTATAATTATTATGGTAAATTTCATGATTGTTAGACTATGCATAACTATTCTAGTAACATTACGACTGTTGAAAAATCACGTAAATTTGTCAGTAGCTGTAATGAATATGAGGTACAATAACTTGGTTTTATTTTCTTACTAACTGTCGAATACGACTTCGTCTGCGTGTAGTTAAAAATATAAAAGTAAGTTGCCAATGTGTTCGTTCAGACTATCCTACATCGACATAATCAGTGTCAAATTTCATCGAGATCCGTTGTGTCGTTTGGATACAAACATTAACAAACATCCATCCATCTTTCGCATTTATAATATTAGTAAAAAGTAAGATTTATTTAGTTACCATTGCCAACAAAATATGTTACATATACAATGGTCGAATCTTACTTAACATTTTATTTATTTTAGTTAAAATTATATAATTTTAAATATTTATAGCAAATAAAAATAACTAGTTTCTGTTCGTTCGTCATTATCACAATCCTCTGCGTTCTTTTTTATTTTAACTATCGCTTTATTGAATTCTCATTCTCATCATTCTCTTTTTGTTATTATTAGGAGCTTTGAATCATTATAATTAGCAAGTGTATTTTTTTTAATCAATCAAATAACTATATTAAAAATTTACCTTCTTGCCATTTCTCCTGACGGACTGTAAACAATACAAGTGTACATCTCTCCATTCTGTTCTTTAGTAACTCGAGGTATGCTCAAAACTCCATCTTCTACTGGTTCAAAGAGTTGTCGTTTTTTTCTTTTCTTCTTCGCGTTCTTCCGACCTTTCGAGACAAAAGAACGACGATATCTCGAATGTTGTGGCAACATTGAATTGACGATTTTCTTTCCCTTGTGCTCCCATTCCAGTTTACTGAAATTACAAACACACCTTTTAATAATATTGTATTTAACACATAGGAGAGATAACACAATGTGAGCTGTATTATTGACATTATCAGCTTGCGCTTGTCTCTACGGAGGGTCGGCATAGTATGTTATCTTTCATACATTTCTGTCAGCCGCCATATCTGAATCCATTTCCTTCTTAAACATATCTTTCACACAATCCATCCATACTTTCTTCTGTCTTCCTCTACCTTTGTAGCCATCCACGTTCAATCTTAACACGTTGAATGAATGTGGATGGAAAGGTAGATGTTATTGACATGACAAATTAAAAAAGTATGACTCATTTTCACGTTTCTGATCCAAGCTTGCGAGCGCGAGCAGGAAACAAGCGATACAGATGCAGAGTCAGCGTAATTCGGCTTGTGACGTTAGCCTACATCGTCTGTTAACCATACTTACAATGTATTTTTAGAAATTATTTGTTCTCAAGACATTCCTTTGTCTTACAAATGAGCTGAGAAAACAAAAAAAACTCGTTTACCTTATGGGGTAACCGTAGTAAGGGCAACGTAATTTCAGCGGCTGCCCACTTTGCACTTTGATGGGCGGCAACGTCCTAATATATGGCGGACCTATAAAAACAAAATGTTATTCTGCGTCCACGTAAGAGGCTTTATTTGACCCGACCTAAGTCCTTTCTGTGAAAAACTGTTTTTCCACTTCGCTCATTGTGCGAAAACAACATTTTTTTCTCGTTTATTTTATTACAATATCTACTTTTATAAAATTACTTGATTGTACGGACATATTTGTTTAGTATTTGCAGTGCGAGGAATCATAATTTAACGATATAATATTGTACATATATTAACTACCGAAAATAGGAGACCGAGGCAAACAAAGAGGATATTCTATGCGTCTCCTACAATGTCAAATATAATTTCCCTTCCCATGCTTTGCTTATAAGAATAAAGTGGAAAGTAAAAGGGACTAAATTTAGGCCTCCAGCGGAAGTGCTTCCAAGTCTGTCTTCTGTGTGATATCTAAAAATAAATCTATATAACTGTTAGCATGTTCTTACCAAACACATCAACTCTAGCCACATGTCTCGTACTGGAGTCACCCTCGTACGCGACGCAGGAAAACAGACCGCCATCTTCCACACGTGCCCGCGATATATTGAAGTGGGAGATGACACCGACGCCAGTAGAAGACATCATCTGACCAAGGATATATCTGGAATTATTAATACACATATAACTAATAGTTCAAAAAGGCAAAAAAATGTATGTCTGTATTGAAATAACTCAAAACTCACCACTGGATTTAAAAAAAATCTTTCACAATTATATTAATATGCCTATGTTAGGCATATTTTTTACAATTAATAAATTCGCGTGGACGAAGTCGCGAACAACAGATAGTACACTAATCTAATTTACTATAAGACAGATTCGACAAATCAAGGTTTTTAAATCAAACGAGGAAATAGATTATTGTATTGTTGACCAGTTGTAGCTCGCGTCTTCATCCGTGCGGAAATAAAAATAAAACAAAAGCAGTAATTATTCAGTGACAACGTAGCTTTTTAATAGTCAAAGAATTTTCGAAATCTGCTTGTATTAAGGTTATAAATACACACAAATCTTCTCTCTTGAGAACAAAAGTAGTAGATAAAAAAGTTAATAATTTAAGTACTAATAAAGTAATATTAAGATTTATAAGTATTATTTGAAATTAGAATAGATTCTTCATCTTTTGATCGAGAAAACGAGAATAAATATTGTGATATCAAATAGTAGTTAATATAGACGAAACAAAAATAGACAGCATTGAAAATATTGTTACGAGCGTGAGGGATAGAGTCAAAACGCCTTGAAATTTTCTGCGTTAATTTATTGGCGACTTAAAGAACAGGGATTCACTGCACTCACAAATCTTCCGTCAAGACTACACGACGCACGCGAACACTGAATCACTAATACGGCGCACTTTACAGAACACCACTGTCCCTATTCACTAGCACTTTCACTCCGCGGTCACTTAATCTTCCTCGTAATTCGCTCAGGACTTCTTCTTCACAGTTTCCACCATATCACTCCCCGAGTCACGACTGACTCCCCTTATATACCCCGAATTTCGATCTTCTTTTCGTTATTCATTTGTCATTTTATTCTAGAACTTTCTCGATAGTACGAATTACATAAATTTCATAATGGAACATTCTCGAAGCCGTTCCGAATGTTCGAGACATCTTTTCGCGAACGTCACTTTCGCTGCTCGCGGCGATCGAACATTCTGGAAACAGCTCGATTATTCCTCGAATATGATTTTCGCTCCTTATCAATAGATGACGTCGCGACAATATGTAAAATTGATGCTATACAAATACATTTTTCTTTTGTTTTACACTTTCTTTTGTTTTACAATAATTACCTGGAATCAGTATTAGACGATATGACCACACCATCTCTCTCCCAGATGAATCGCGGCGGCCTTTCAGCTGTCGCAGCACATTCCAGACTTATCTACAATAACAAAAAATATCCTTACTAATCTTACTAATATTATAAATGCCTAAATTGCTAAACGGATCTCGATGAATTTTGGCATACAAGTAGAAGATAGTCTGGAAGAACATATAAGCTACTTAGTTTTTTTAATTCCACGCGAACTGAGTTGCAGGCGAAAGCTAGTCTACATTAATGCAAAAATATTCAATGCGTAAAATAATTGATTTATAACAGATTATAATTATAAGAATTCAACAAAGTATAACGTTAACACGTTTTATGACATTTTTTGGTGAAATTAGTCAAGTTATCTTCTTTAAAACATTAATACGAGCCAATAACTTGGACTTTGACTCAACTATCGCATTCCTATGAACTTATATGGAGGTGCACAACTACTCGATTTAGTTCTGTAACTAAATTCAACTGGAATTAGCTGCAAAACAATCGACAAACAGTTGTCTGATAGTTTAGTCAAAGGTATGCGTCATCTCTTGCTCTCTTATTAATTCAGTCAACAGAATCACAAAGTTGTAACAATGTCTTTTATTTATAGAGATGGCAAAAACGTACATTAAAGAGATAATTTCAAACAACTTTTTCCAGCAGTTCTTTGCCTAAACAGGGGCATTATTTATTGTTATTTGCGGCAATAAATTTTCACAGTACATTTAGCATATTGTCCTTTTCGGGAAAGTAGGTTGGGACCACAATAATTATTTATAATGAAAACATTTTACCGGAATTTATGGTAAGTCTAGTCATAAAAAGTCTTCATTACAATACTAGATTCGTAGTTCCTACCTACACTAATATAATAAAGCGTAAACACACTACTTCGTGGTGTAGGATGCCAGCAATCACAGTATACTTTTGAATAATACTTTCTTTAATAAAAATGCCCTACACTCACGACACGCTTTAGGCTATACATTTTCACGCTATTAAACTTAAGAGGTAAATTAAGTGGAAAAAACCTTTATATGGGAAAAACATAAACTAAAACCTGCCAACATTATTTAAGCAAGGTTTATATGGTAACGGTAATTTTGTCATTTGCAATTGAGGATTTGACAAATATAAACAATAAAATAAAGTTGTTATAATTCCATGCAGATGAAGCCGCACGGACAGAAAATAGTTAAAGAATCGCTTACATATATAGAAATCTTACTTCTCACTAATATTATAAATGCGTAAGTTTAGATGGATGTTTGTTAGAGTTTGTAGCGTAAACTGCTGAACATATCTTGATGAAATTTGGCATAGATGTATAGGATAGTGTTTGTGTCTAATCGGCTTACGATTGTTAAAGGACCAAAAAGTTATTTATTGACTTACATCTTCGCCTGATGTGACTATTTTCTCCGTAAAATGATGAGTGATAATAATTGAAGAACCTATTTCACGTCTGTACCTCAAATGTTTATCATCTGAAACATAAAAAAATTATTATCGTTAATCTAGTCTTTACTCACATTATAAAGAGGAAAGATTTGTATTTTTGTATGCATTGAAATAACTCAAAAACTAATGGGCCAATTTTAAAATTATTACACCATTAGAATGGTAATTTATCTGTGAGTAACATAGGCTTTATATAACAAATTATTTTAATTTTACACGGGCGATGTCGCGCGCAACAGCTAGTAATAAATAAAGCCAATGTTACTCATTAATAATGTAATTTTGTATTGGTTAAAAATTAAATCAATCTAATCAATGTTTTCTCTTTAATAAATCATACTGAAACTGAACCGATTTTGATGAAATTTGGTATGGATGTAGTGGATAGTCTGGAAGAACACATAGGCTACTTAGTTTTGTTTTTTTTTTTTAATTTCACGCGGACGGAGTCGCGGGCGAAAGTTAGTTAGTATATAATTATGAACTATTATAGTTTAGATAGTTTAAAATATCTAGAATATCGTACCCTTTTCACTGATATGTGCACTGAACTGATATTTATTAAAGCTTCTTTGTATTCTCGATTTTCTGTGCGATATCGACCTGCAAATTTTATTATTATTCATTAGTAAATAAACAAAAAAAAACAATCACAGGAGCCCAATAATTTCGTTAGTCGTCATTTAATTTCCACCATTTACGTACAGAGAATGGGATGGAAAGAGGAATGAAATTATCAGATGATTGGACGTAGGTAGGGAAAATATTTTTTATGCGTCCATACCTCTGTTGTCAATATAGACAATGCATTTCCAAATGCGGATGTATCGGCATGTGCCTTCGCTATTTTGGCAAATTAAATAAATAAATAAAATAACGTTAAATGCTTATCAACACTACAATACAATTATGAATAAAAAAAAGTATTTCAATATAAAATTATGAAATAAAAAAAAATATAAAAAATTGTGTTGCAATGCTGACTGTATTGGGTCTTCGATCAGCTATAAATACTGGATGCTTCTAATTGAAGTACCCAGCTGATCTTCCGCGAGAACCCTTGGGATCATCCACAATTGCGTCTGCCGATTGTCATCTTTTACTATGGATTATGTCGAAAAATCCTATATCCATAAAATCAACACACAATGTGTTATATTAAGTCTTACTAACGTTGAATACAACACGCAAGGTTGTAAACAGAGTTCGGGCCGACATTATGCGGCGTCATGGCCGCCCCGTGTTTCGCGGTAATATCATTAATCTGAGTTTAATTTATGCATAGTTAACCATTGTTAAACTACGCCCGCGGTGTTTACTTGCGAGATGAGGAATAATTAGATTGCAGATGGCCTATATTGTTTGAACAGACCCTAAGTTTAATATCTTTACTTTGAACATCGAAGGATGTTTGGTTAGGCAAAACCAATATCGGAGCGTATTAAATTATACAAGATTGATTTATTTAGCTTGTTTGTAATACGACGTTTGTATAATTTGTGTGATGTCTCTGTCTAGCTAATGAGAAGAAAAAGGGATAGGATATATTTTTTAAACATCTTATACCATTTCTAGTAAGCTCTCAATTTGTGCTAGGAATGGTTTACAATACTGGAATGGCGGGATTCGAACCCTCGACCACATATATGAAACCGGCACCCTTAATCATTAGGCTATTGGTGCTTCTGCTATAATATTAAATAAATAATATTATTTACCTTTGTTTTCTTGGACTCCGTATAATCTCATGATCATCTCGAAAACCTGAAGCAAAAAATTGGTATTGCAAAAAAACAAAACAGTTGATGCTAACTTAAAAAGGCTTGTTTAATATTAAAACTTTTTAAAAATATTAAACGGCTGTATTGAACAATTTCCAGTCGGTTTAGTTAAAGAGAACCGAACGGCAGACTAACTCGGCAATGCACTCAAAACTTTCCAAACTCCGCGGTCCGAACTTGTTCCGACCCGTAATCTATATCGGAGTTAATAATACGACCCAATTTGAACTTTACCCCCATAGCAATAAAGGATAATTAGGTATTTTTCAAAGTTTCGAGTGAAACGAATACTTGTGCATATTTTTTTATTTGCATAAAGGTCTTGGCTCTCATTTATAGTATTATGAATTTAAAATAAATTTGTACTTCAAATTAAATAAAAAACTTAACTAATACTCTATGCAAGGGCTTATATTGCAGACTTCTACAAAAATTGCGGTCCTTTTCAATCACATTGTAAAATAAGAGACAACAATATAACATCCGCACATTATCTACAGCAGTGTAAACCCATATTAATGTAAAAAAATTATAAAATTCTACTTACTATTTATTGAATTTTGGTCACTGCGTTTGCTTTCAAATAAGGATAACTTTTTCCTTTCTTCATATTTTCTATAAACCCTGAAAAATAAAAAAAACAACAACTTAGAGCTCAAGATTTTTAATTAATTTTATAAAAATAGTACTTAAAAATCTTTAATATACAAAAATATGTTAAGTTTCCTAAGACTTTCTTCTCTTGAAAGCGTCGAGTGGCAACGCTTTGCTCTTGGTTGTAAAACTATAAAGTTTGGAACACACAGAGAGAAAACACAGATATTAGTAACAAAATAATTTCAGAAAAACATTACTTTCGTTACTTAAATTTTAACATAATGAATTACCTCAATGTGTCTTAATTTAATTGATTGATTAAGGAAATATACCCTGTAGGGTAGCGTGTACCCCAAGTGGGACGCGCAAGTTAATATTTTTCATAGGTATTACAAAAAAATTTAAGCTACATCCAAAGACATTAAAAATGAAAATATTAAAATTGAATTTTATCACGTTATAAAAATGTATATAGCAAACATTAGACAAATAACAAATGTTAAGAGCGAGCGCAAACCTTTCACTAAACTATCGCACAACTGTTGTGCGACTGTCGATTGTTTCGCTGCCAATTCAACGGTTTATTCTTAGAAATAAAAAATTGAGTAGCATTTCCATATAAGCTCATAATAATCATAGTGAAACTAACCATTTATGCGAGACCTTACTTTCTGGTGTGCGCACGATCTAAGCGTGAAGAATTAAAAAATAATAAAATTTTTATATCTCGTTGTGTCACGAACCTAATTACAAGAGTCGCAATCATAAAATTTTAAAGGCAATAAAAGGAGGGCCATCCTCAAAACAGCTGATAAGCGTCTTTTTATTTAACTTTCCATCGTTACCAAGTCGCCTTCTTTTAATGGCAGTCGCTTAACCATTTGCTTCCATTCTACCTCGTTTTATTGCTTCTATAGATTTTCTGTCTTAGTTCTATTCGTAAGGATAGTAATAAAACTAAGAGCCTGTCCTACCACTGGCTGATAGAGGCTCAGATAGCTTAAAAATTACGTCACTGTCGGAAAAGGTAACAAAACCCGATATTTCCATCACATATTTTACACGTTGGATTGTTATCAGACAATTAACAATTTGGTAGGACAGGCCCTAAATGTAGAAAATTATTAGACACGTTGCTTACTATACGGGGTTATTGGTAATTAGACGCATACCCGTTAGGAGGTAATAAGGGATTGTTTGTGATGATTTTGACCCCTATATACATTACAAATATGATTTTTTCAAATAAGTCAAAAATGCCACTTCCAAAATTTATTAAAAAAAAACACCAATGATAACGTCATTATTCCTTTATATTTATAGAACCATTAAACACTGATAATTTTACTAAATAAAAACTTTAACAAACCAAAAATTATCACAAATGATCCCCTCCATTACTTCCTAACGGGAATATATCTAATTACCAATAACCTTGTACACAAGTTTCTCACTATAGATAAAGAATAAATACAGACGTATCATTTTACCCTAGAGTTTTAAATGAACCTGAAATAAAACTTACCCTTTGTCGAGTCGATATCGTTCAAAACGTGTGCCATCTTTTTCTGGCACCGCAATATTCACAGCGACAGCTGAAACAAAGAAAAAAGATACCTATATTCTTACTTTTTTTTTACAACTAATTTAAATGTATAATATTCAAACAGGACAGATCTTACTGAGATGCATTTATATAAACACAAGAATTATTTTCACAGAAAAAGTCATAAAAAATACACATTAAAACGCTAGTGTCAAACTGACAACTGATGTAAAGGAAATGTTAACATTAACAATATATCCCCTTCGCCAGACATAGCCATAGGGCTAAAGCTTTCCCCTAGTTGCAAACAATCGGTGTAATTTACGGTCGATAGTTACAAGTGGATAGGGCACTTAACTGCAGTCAAACAAAAGCTGTTAAACCCCAAGTATTTTGATTATTTGTATCTGAAATTATTTCTTTTGTATTGGAATGCAGTAGTGGGAGGTTGGAATGTTGGATGGTTGAAATGTTGGTCAAGTATTTGGCAGTAATTAGTTCTAGTAGGTGCTGCAATCGGCCGACTAGTCAATCATTTAGTTGGCTGTGAATTCAAATTGTACAGTCGGCTGCATAAAAATGTATACGTTTACAAGATTTTAAATATTGTATATTGTAACGTTCGATTTCAAAAATGCAAGAAAATGTTCATTAATAACATGCATACATAGTGGAATTTATACAAATATGTGCGAACTTCTTTTTAAAACAGGAGACGTAAAACGTTCTGAAGCCGTAAGAGTTGTTGCTAGCGACTTCGTCTGCGTGAAATTAAAAAAATAATTTAAAACATAGCCTTTGTTACTCACCGATAACGTAACTTTTTATAAGTGAAAGAATTTTTGAAAACTGCCCATTAGTTTTTGAGTTATTTCAATACATACAATAATAAAAATCTTGCCTTTTTATCATGCTACTCTAGACTAATATAGATACGCATTGATAGCTGATTGTACATTCGAATTTAGCTATCGCCCGCGATTCTATCCGCGTAGAATTTAAAAAGTGACTAGCCTATATGTTCTTCCAGACTACCCTCTACATCTATAGCAAATTTCATCGAAATCCGTTCAGCCGTTTAGGCAACAAACTCTAACAAACATCCATCCATCTAAACTTTCGCATTTATAATATTAGTAAGAATGATTTTAAACAAAAGTTAAATAACACAAATCAAAGGACACACGGATCTAAATTTTACAACGGTGTTTAAATTTAATTTGATGTATGTTATAAACTTTGATTGCTGCCGTGTGAGGGCATTAAAACACACGCGACGCTATTCGGATGATGCGACCCGAGGTTAAATGTCACTCCACATTTTCGGGTTCCACGTCGAATGGAATTGTAAAATTTAAACTTCTACGACAATATAAAGTTTATCTGCGTATACATAACTTTGCGAGCGTTAAAATTTATGTTATTACCTTCAATTTAACCGTGTGTTCTCACTGTTAAAACACAAAATATAAATATTATTCCCAACCGTCACCCTGCTCTGTCCCCACGTGAAAATAAAAAGTTACATCCATCCTACCTTTTAGTCTCACTATCACCATTAAGGAGACAACCGTCCCTTCGTCGCAAAAGGTGGGACGGATAAAACTTTTTATTCTCATCGGTCTCCACGTGGGGATAGAGCAGGATGACGGTTAGAAATAATCCTATAAAAATGAAAATATCTATTATATTTCAAATAGAACACTTTTTATAAACGTGTTACGGTAGTGAAAACTTACGTTAATACAGATTGTTATGCGTGGAGATCCTTATTTACGGTAGACGTTAAACTAATTTTTATCGAACGTTCACTACTTTGCCATAATGAAATTTAAAAAAGGGTATCTACATATTGTCTCATGCACTACCTTCCAGTTTCACCAAAATCTGTCCTGACATTCCGAAGATTACTACAAATAAATGTCTGTCGTAAAACTAGCTTAATTAAATTGGTAAATAGTTAAAATTTAGTAATTGAATATTTTAGTAAAAGATATAAATGAACAAAATAAAAATTATGTTGCCATACGAGTTTGCTGAATAGAGTAAATCTGAATGGGAGGTTGTATGAAAGACTTGAATGCCTTTGAGAGGCTATGGTTAGTTAACCATTAGCTAATGATGCGTTCTCATTTACTTTATGTGTTAGGAACATTTATTGCTCAGTCTTTTTTTTTTAATTTCATTTAATATGCATAGAGGTTAGTTTACATCAGACGTGATTTATTGATAAAAATATTTGCTCATATAAATCAACCAGTACTTATAAAGCACTGATAGATGAATAATGAGTTCATTGAACTATGAATAACTCCGTTTTTTTATAACTAGCTTTCGCCCGCAACTTCGTCTACGTGGTATTAAAAATAATTAAGTAGCCTATGTGTTCTTCCAGACTATCCTTCATATCTCTGGCTAATTTCGTCGGGATCCGTTCAGTTTAGGCTACAAACTCTAACAAACATCCATCCATCTAAACTTTCGCATTCACAATATTAGTAAGATAACGCATATTATAATGTACACTACATATTTCAAAGACATTTTAGAAACATACAGACATGACATAGTGAATAAATTTTTTCATTTTTTTTTTTTTTATTACATAGGAAAACTTAACATGTTAGTTTTCGCAAATGAACAATGAAAATAAAAATAAATTTACCGGTAACTTTTCCACCAGATTAAAATGTATTTTTAAATAGATATTATTTAGTGTGCTATCTATGTTTTTTTATTAGATTGAAGAATTTCTAATACCATGCTAGTATTACTAGTATACAAAACAATAAATGTGAACTTTGCAAACTTCAGTTCGTCTAACTTACAACTTGGTCTATACAGTGCTTAATACTTCTCAAGTAAACCACAGAGGGAAGTGAAACTTTAGATGGCCCAGTTTTTCCGCTGTGTGATAATTAAAACGCCGCTCGTATTCTACCCGTTACGTTTCAAGTGTAAGTTTGAACAATAATAATGCTCGACCTACTTTCAATATTGAATCAAACTTCATTTCGAACTGTATTCATTTAATGATTCACTTTTGTTTTCTTAATTATTTCTCTATCACCTTGTACCGTTTCATCTATCTATATTATTATAATAAAGCGTAAACACACACTTTTTTGTTGCCTAAGATGTCAGCAATCACAGCATATTTTTTAATAATCCTTTTTTTAATAACAAGCCTTACACTTACGTCACGCTTTAGGCTATATATTTTCACGCCATTAAACTTAGGGGTAAATGTTATGGATAAAAACCCTAATGTGGGAAAAAGACCATAAGTTGCTGCCAACATCAAGGAAGCAAGGTTGTCATCATGTCATGTCATTTTGACATTTGTAATTTGACAAATGTAAACAATAAAATATTTTTTTTATGATTTCATGCGGATGAAGTCGCATGGGAACAGCTAGTTAAACATAAAAAAACTTACTTGTCCTTACCACAAAAGCTAAACAAAGTGTTTTGAATACATTTCAAGTAACATATGTAGCTACAGTGGTAGAGCCCGCTTTAATATCTTCGCACGAATGGGCCAGCTCGCCCGGTGTAATACCACGACCACACAGAAAACAGGCGTGAAGTGGAAGCAATTCCGCGTTTCGTCTGATGAGTGTGGTGCCGGAGGCCTAATTTTAGTCACTTTCCTTTTCCAACCTTTTCTCAATGGGAAGAAAAAGTGGATTTGACGGTGGAGGAGACGCATAGGAAAGAAAAGTGTCATCTTTATGTGCGTCTCCTCCTCCGTCAATTGAGGGTAGGCAACGCATCTGCATTTGTGGATGTCTATGGGCAGTGGTCGCTTTCCATTTCGGTGGATTCAGGTGGCTGCTTGCTCGTTTGCCACCTTATATTATTATAAAAAAAATGACAACCCTTTTATGATAGCGTCGGTGGCTCAGTGGTTTGACTTACTGGGTTCGATACCAATGTGAGTTTTTACCTTTGAACATAAGTTTAAAATTTTCCCGACGTTCTTACGGTGAACGAAAACATTGTGATGCAACAAGCATATATCGATGTAGAAATTAAAACACAAAATAACTAACCCGCAGTGGGCCAGCGTAATTGACTGTGGCTTTGTCAACTAGCGAAGGAAGTTTCCGAGCCTCTCAGTAGGGACGTATAGTGAGCTGATGATGATGACATAATCGAAAATCCAATTTTATATTTAATTACATTTTGATTACTTATTGATTTTTACCAAGACACTGTTATTGACAACAGAATTAATTTACCGAGGAGATTATCTTCTTTGATAGACAGGAAAATATTAATTGCTTCCGAGAAAGATACGATAGAAAAGCAATTTGGATATAAAGCTTATTTTCGTAAAATTTGACCGATTATCTATAATAATTTATTAATCTTCAAATTAATATATGTCATTGTCGAGAGCATTGCTTTGGTTTAGATAAAAATGGGATAAACAAGTGGTAGTTATTCTCTATTGTTTAACAATAGACACTAATTAAAATTACTAGGTTTTACATGACATCTAACATATTTTTGTAGAAAAACATGCGGTATTTTTTATGTATTATATTTTTCAAGGTCTTTAGTTTCGTATTGATTTCTAAAATTCTTTATTTTAAAGTTACGAGAAATTACTATTGGGACCCTTTTTTTAAAAAGACAAATGACATACGAACAGTGGGAACACACACCCATGGACATTTGCGATAACAGTACTCAAGAATTGCTGACTATTGAAGGCACACGCTTGTCTGCGATTTGGAATTACTCGCGAGGACCATTTCACAATACAGCTTCAAGAGAAAAAAAGTTTGAAGACATGCACGTTTGAGTATTGTCAGTCATCGATATGGTCTATCGAGTCAATGGAAGGAATATTAAGTTTAACAAAATACTATTAAAAATAATAAGGTCTGTAATAGTATTACTAGAATGATTGTAAACCATTGCAGTTTATCAAATGGATAAAACTTTATAACATAAAGAAAAAATGCTTTTAAAAAGTAAATAAGTACGTTATATTACTTCCCATATCCGGGTTTGCATTACGTGAGGGGCTGTAACAGT